TGGGAACTTATTTCGGAAGTTAATGGGGAGAGAAAACGTCCGATCCCGTTTGAATTGTGCCACGAATTACACATGTGATGTTTGTCAATCTTAAAAAATAATTTCCACGTCAAAAAAGTCACAGTTTGTCGTAAAACTGTTGAAATATAAGACTATGAAAAATACGCATCTAGAAAGACTACAAATCCCAGAGTCCTGGTCCCGCATGCTGGCTCTTACGGAACCGACTAACTTCGCATCATTCTGACAGAAAGAAGTGAAATGTGCCAACGTGACGGCCGTCTTGGTGTGTGGTGCGAGACGGGAGATGTAGTTCATTGAGCGGTTTCACACAAAAAAAAGTGGTACTTCTCAGTTTTACGACACATTTAAAAGAAATTGACTTTTTTTTTTTTTTTTTTTTTTTTTTTACTAAAATGATCTTTTAAATGGACAAACATCATATGTGTAATTCGTGGCACAATTCAAACGGGATCAAAAGATAATCTTTCTCTCTCCATTGACTTCAATACATACTTTTCTCTGAAATAATGTCCCATGGAGGTCAACCGGAAGGGGAGGGACTTCTCCTCTCTATACGCTGACAGTTGGAGATCAGTAGATCATTAACGTCCTCATGTAGGTCATCTCCTCAAACAAAGAGCTGCTGCTGCTAAGAGCATTAAACTCAACAAACACATCGTTTACAATAAAAAGCTTTAAAAAACATGCTAACCTGCTGCTAACGTTCACATATCTGACATATCAGCGGATTTAAAACACGTCAATATTGTTGACTTCCGCTCAACTTCAACACCGGGATTACAGACGCATGTTGAACTGCACGGACAGAAGTATGTGGAGCGCTGAAGCTTTGTTATTCAAAATCCATTCTTTCTAAAACTGGCTGCAACGATTCGTCACCATTTTGCCCCAAAAGCAGCATAACGGTCCTAAACTGACGGTCTACAGAGAGAAGAACGGATCCTTCCTACAACCAGGACTTGGTTAAACCATGCGCTCTAGAACGGCCACTTAGCGCTGCATCGGCCAATCAGCTCGCTCCCTCACTGTTAGTGGGAATCAGGTAACCCTCTGATAAACCATTACTCACACCAGGTGCTTTCTATCATGCTTTTAATTATTTTACTCCCATTGTGTTATTTGATATTGTATGTATTGCCTGTACAGCACTTTGGTCAACTGAGGTTGTTTTACATGTGCTATATAAATAAATAAAGATTGAGATTGAACCCTCAACAAAAACACACCCGTTTGCAGCAGGGTCAAAATGGTGGAACGAGCTCCACGTTGATATCAGGACAGCAGAGAGTCTAAACGTCTTCAGCAGAATGAAAACCAAGCTGTTTCAACTGCACTTTGGTCCTTAAAATACAAACTAAATCCTTATCATTTCTTTATCTTGTACTTCAAAAGGTTTAGCTAATTTGAAGGTAATGTCCTAAGGCTCTGTTTAATAAAAGGTAGTGTTGTGTAATGGCGTTTATGTCTGCCTGATGGTTGGTTCCAGTTTCCCTCAAACATGTTGGAGAGCGTTGAGGTGCGCAAACAAGTGAAGTTATTCGGCACCAAACAGAAAAACTATTTATTTTTGGAGTTGGCTTTGTGCAGAAACTCCCATAACGTTTTAAGTATATCATATGATGTCATCCTGCAGCTTTAAGATTTCCTTAAAGGGGACCTATCATGCAAAATGCACTTTTGTACGTCTTTTATACATGAATATGTGTCCCCGGTGTTCCAGGGAACTCACCAAGTGTCAGAAAACACAACCCTCTCTATTTTCCTCCATACCCAAATCCAGTGGCGTCGCCTGGCCTGGGCATCCGGGGCTTTAGCCCCGGATGTTTTTTCTGTAGCCCCGGACAATTCTCCCTCAATAATATAATACATTAACCATGCTTTACGTGAACCTCATCATGACACAAGAGAGGACGGCAGCACTGTAATTTCCCGTGTTCAGTGAATGCAACAGAGGCATGACACCAGACCAATCAGAGAGTTGCATGGAAATAAACGTGTGCTTGTGTCATTCAAGCTCGGCTCTGTGTGTGTGGCAATAGCGCATTTAGTGTGATAGAGAGAGAGAGAGAGAGGGAGAGAGGGTCCGGTGTCAGCATGGACCGTGTTGTTAGCATCTGGTTAGCTAGCTGCACTAACGGACATAAGGAGCTGTTTGTTCCACAACAAGCTGGAGGAGAGTCCTCTCCTCTCAGACTGAGGGGCTCAGGTGAGCTAAAGGACTCTCTGAGTGTTTAGATAGTTAACTTTAGTCTAAGTTATCTCAGTGGGTCTCAAACGGTTTGGTCACAAATTATTCAAAAGATTATTTCCGCGGCACACCTTCATATGATCATTATAGTTATTAAAAAAAAGAGAATAAAGGAAAAACAGTTATGAAATACTATATGGCAGTAAAACAAGAATAGAGTTTAAAAGGGGAGTGATTAGTAAAATATCCATAAAGAAAAAGTACATCTGTTTACAGTTCTGCTTCATATGGGTGTTGAGAGAGGAACATAGATCTCTTCATTTTGCTCTCAAAGTGCACCAGATTGATGCATTTAACTTCAATATTTAAAAAAAAATCTTCCCGGGGGAGCATCCCCCCGGACCCCCCTAGAGGAGGTGAGCCACCCACTCATAAAAAATACCACTTTACCCCTGCCTATATGCCGTGAGCTGATTATCGAGCCTTCATTGTAACAGTCGCGGGTGTACTGTGTGTGTGCGTGTGGGGAGTGTTGCAGTAAAAAATGCCACTGTAGTGCCGCCGCCACTGTGGGCTAAGCCCCGAATGTTTTCAGGTCCAGGCGACGCCCCTGCCCAAATCTCTAAAAAAGGGGCTGCAACGGATCTGATAAAAACTGATCCAGATTTGAACACTGTCCTGACGTCAGGACGGTGGCGCTACGGCTATTGGGCCAACTCCACCAATCAGGAGGAGACAGCCACGGCCATTGCCGTTCGAAAGCGCTGGAGACGCTGTAGTACATATGCCAGGCCAGTAGGTGGTGCTGTTCTCACAGAATCTGCCCTTGCTAAAACAGAGCTAAAAAATGTCAAATTGAGCAAAATGAGGCATGGCTAAAATGCATGATCTGTTTGGTATTTTGAAAAAAAAAATGTATAAATATGCCTTATATAGGTATGGTCCTACACTATATTATTCAAATATAGCATGATAGGTCCACTTTAAGTGAGAACAAACGGACAGATTGATGTTGAAACCAAAAGAAGATCTGAACTATGAACGTCCAAATATATCCAGATCTGAACGTAGAGGAGGGGTCGCTGTCTGATCTCAGTCTGACACACTCTTCATTAATCCTGATCTCCTCTCTGATTGGACGGCAGGATGCTCAGCAGGTGTCGTGTTGTTGACTCTGATCAGATTAAAAGACATTAGGGCGACATTAAACCTGACTAAACCCTGAGTGCAGTCTGGAGACACTCTTTGAAGTCTAATCAACCTCATTTCCACATTACCAACTAAAGCTCATGAACACATCGAGGTCCGAAGAACGACTCCCAAAATCTGGAAATGGGAATATCGGAGGAGAAGGAAATGGATCATCGTCTGAGTGCCAGTCTAGTTATCACAGTATAATTAAATCAGTTAGTTTTAAACCACAAAAACGTTTAATGATCTATTTCAGACATTCAGAAATGTTAAATATTGTCTTATTATCAATCTGCCATTTTGTTTGAGTTTGAATTATCCAAAAATTTGTTTAGTTTCCAAGTGCTAATCACGCAGAAGGAGGTTCAATGCCAACAAGAAACTATATTTTGTAATACTTGATGTAATACTGAACAATTCTGAAAAATAATGTGTTATAAGGCTGTTAATGTCTGTTTAACATCACCATACTACATTTTTTATATCAGTAGACCTGGGCGATAGAAAATCATACATCACGATATTTTTTATCAATTATTTCAAACTATATTGTAGGGTTGACTATTGGCGCTTTCACAAAATATTCATACAATGAGATAATTGAAAAAAGTAACAACAGTCTGGTGAATGTAGAAAAATGATTCCTTAACGCAGCCTTTAAAACCATGTGATTTTATAATATCCAACACTACGAGGATATCTCATCTCATATCACGATATCAAAATAATATCGATATTGTCCAACCTTCACGAATTCACGAAGAGCAGAGATGGCAAAAGTACACACATCCTTTACTCAAGTAGAAGTACAGATACTCGTGTTTAAAAATACTCTGGTGAAAGTAGAAGTACTGACTAAACTTCTTTACTCAAGTAAAAGTAAAGAGGGCTTTGAAATGTACTTCAGTAAAAAGTACCCATAACTAGCAGCTGTTTTAAAGAGTACCTGACCTCCCTTTATATTAATAGAACAATAATGTCATTGTTAGCTAATGAATGTTTCCATGCTGAACAACGGCAACATGACAACGTTTTCATTGGTCCCTCTTCTTTAGAGAAGACCAGGAAATGATGGATACACGGATCGTGTTCAAATCAATAGGCACGCAATGACTCTAAATAATAATGATCACGCCACCAAACACACATTCAAACTAAAGGAACCAGCCTGTTTGGAAAATGAGAGAAGTAGAAAGTACAGGTATTTGTGTTCAACATGTAAGAAGTAGAAAGTACAGGTATTTGTGTTCAACATGTAAGAAGTAGAAAGTACAGGTATTTGTGTTCAACATGTAAGAAGTAGAAAGTACAGGTATTTGTGTTCAACATGTAAGAAGTAGAAAGTACAGGTATTTGTGTTCAACATGTAAGAAGTAGAAAGTACAGGTATTTGTGTTCAACATGTAAGAAGTAGAAAGTACAGGTATTTGTGTTCAACATGTAAGAAGTAAAAGTAAAAAGTCGTCAGAAAAATAAGTAGTGGAGTAAAGTACTGATACCAGAAAAATGTACTTAAAGTATTTGTACTCCACTACTTCCCACCTCTGACGACGAGTTACTTCCGGTTTGAACCCCCCCCCCCCGTCTCTTATCTCACCTCCAGGTAGGGGATGATCCTGCACGAGAGCTCCCCCAGCAGCCAGTTCTTGGTGAGCTCGTGGAAGAGCACGAGCGGCAGGCAGAAGAAGATGATGATGAAGTCCCAGAGCGCGAGGTTGGCCAGCAGCGAGTTGGAGATGCTCCTCATGTAGTAGTTGTGACACACGATGCACATCAGAGACACGTTCCCGATGATGCCCACGCTGAAGATGAGCGCGGAGAAGATAAGGATCGCGTACGCGCCGCACGCCTCCGCGGTCACCGGGTAGAAAGGGTTCTTCAGCTGCTTCCGGCGCGTGCGTGGGATCACCGGAGTGGTGTCGGGATAGTCCGGCACAGAATACTCTTCCTCCACCTCATAGTCCGTGGAGTTTAAGGGGGGTTCGGCCTCTTGTTCCTGCGCCATGGAGGCTTCGTCCGCGTCACTTCGCTTCCTTCTGCTGCGTTTCGCGCTTCGCTTCTGCCGAAACGTGCGTCCATGTTGGGTTTTTTCAAGCACTTCTCCCGGTTTGCATCCATTACTCACATCAGGCGTCTTTATAGCCGTGTGTAAAGCTTCCCGTTCGCGTAGGATGTGCTGCGATCCGTGTTGCGCGTCGCTTTTACGCACCTGTGATCCAAACGGCACAGAGGGTGACCGCCTGTGCCGCCTGTTGTGTCCAATCCTTGTCAAGTTACAAGTGCTTCCATGTTTTGTTCCAATCACTTCTCCCTGTTTGCACCCACTACTCTCATTGGGTTTGTTTATATCCGTGCGTAAAGCTTCGTGAACACGCTCTCCGTTTTGCGCGTCGCTTTTACGCACAGCGCGCCCGGGTGTCTGTGTCCCCAGCAGCTCAGAGGGTGACAGATTTACAGTCTCCAGCCCCGAGGGCTCTGCACCGCCCGTCCTCTCATTGTCCTCCCCGGTTACTGTGCGCCATCTCCGGCTCTGCGCACTCCTCTCAGCGGCTGTGGATGCAAAGTGAGGGCTGAAAGTCGGCTTTGTTTTGTGGATCTGAGTCGCGAAGGCCTCGCTGCACAGCCACAAACACAGAAACCCCGAAAATGGAAGCAGCATCGTGTGATTCTGTCTAACCCGTGACTTCGAAATGGTTCCAAAATGATCGATCCATCCCTGGTTTTTGACAAAAAAAGCGAAAATATCAACTTTAACTGCGATCAGTTTTCCTTCATCTTTGCGCGTAAAAAGCTTCCACTAACTCTTTGGTGGTGTATCAGAGGTGCACCTGTTTGGTTTGGGTGCGTCCCGGAGCAGCTCCAGTCTGGAGGCATCACCAAAGAGACCAGAGCGGAATAGTTTCCTCAAACTGGGTGGGAAAAAAAGTTAACTGACCGTTCAGATCCTCCGTAGCTAAAAGGTGTTGAATGAACCCGGGGAAAGTCCACCTTCGTCCCGGGAGGATTCTGTGAGAACAGCCGCTCCTGGGCGCTCAGAGGCCGGGGGGAGAGAGAGGGGAAATGCGGCCAGTGGAGACCCCGAGCTCCGTGTGAGAGAAAAGAGGAACAGAGAGAGGAGGAGGAGAAAAAGGGGGGAGGGAGGGGGAGGGGGAGGGGGTCATCTGTCAAACCTCTGATCCGATTATAAACTGTTCAAATAACACACTGAGATTAATCTGGGATATCATGTGGGAATTACAATTTCAAAATCAGTTATTTGTTTTATGTCAAAGATAAAGTTATTTTGGGCAATTTTGATAAAGTCACACTGATATCAATTAGCAGTGTTAAAAACATATATTACAATTTACCATTTTAAGACAATACATGTTGTAGTGTTTAGTATCTTCATCATGCAGCATTATTACCTTTACTTAGCACTGAGCAGGAACTTAGAAACACCGGTCAACTGATCTAACGCTTTTAAATAATACATAAACAAAAAGACAAATACCGAAAGATATTTCTTTCAGATAAACCTTTTTCCTACTTGCATTTGTCATACAATAACTAATAAACACAGGTTATTACAGTAACAGTTATCGATACTTAAAGAAAGTAAAATATTACTTTCTATTATTGGACATAGACTAACTTTATACAACGAACACAAAAACCCACACATTTCTAAATAACTGTATAGCAGTAAATTGTGATCTGTGTTATAAATGCCTTTTAAGTTTTGGGAATAGTTGTAGTAATACGTAAAAAAGTTCCAGTGATGAAATGTTATCTGGGTTTCTCTTGTGTTTAAAGGCAAGATCATTGAATTCACTGCGAGTGTAAATACTTAGAGGCTTTGGCGCCATCCAGCGTACACTCTGGGTATTACACCAGCTCTCTCCCGAGAAACTCATGAAAAGTGAACTCTAGATCTCCGTGGTTCCTCACAGGACAAAGCTACAACCATTTGATGATTTTATGGAATATGATGCATAACTGTAAATTAAACTAGCCGACAGTATGTCAACCACGAGCAATAACTTAAAGCAGGAGAAAAATGCTGAAATTGTAAAACATATCTGGAAAATATGCCAATAAAGTCTGGAAACGATCTGAAAATTAAATTAAAAATATCTGAAAACTACTTGAAAAAATGTCTGAAATTTAAACGGAAATAATTCGGAAAATTGAATGAAAACATTCTGGAAATGTAACGAAGATTATATAAAAAATATCTGAAAATGTTACGGAAAATATCTGAAAATTATATGAAAGTTATCGGAAAATGAAACAAAAAATCTGAAAAAAATCATGCAAAATAAATCTGAAAATTATATGAAAAATATCTGAAAGTATATGAAATGTCTTCTGAAAATAGAGCACGATGAAGTGACTAAACCAGCCAACTGTAGTAAAATGCAACAGTAATACTAATCCAGAAGCATCAACTATAATATTAAAACTAAACTACATTTACTTGTATTTTAAACACATTTAGTTGATAATACTTACATAGTTTGAATTGTAGTGAATTCCTTTCCTGTGTCACCTCTGCATAACATGAACAACTAAAAGGGAAATGTGACAGCAGAACCAGAAAAAACTAAATCTGCTCGATACAGTTTGTATTTTTGTACTTAGTTACCATCATGTGATTGCACTCTGCAGAATATATATCTTAAAGGCCCATGTCATGGCCATTTCTACTGATCATAATTCCATAGTTGAGGTCTACTAGAATATATTTAAATTGTGCAATTTTCCAAACTCACATTGGTTTCTCATACAGCATCTCTGTATAGTATGGGTATTCACTCTCTGTCCTAAATGGCTTGTTGGAGCTCCTCCCCCCCCCCCCCTCCCTGTGAGCCCAGTGTGCTCTGATTGGTCGGGACGTTGCGAGGCTCGTTGCTGCTGCGACAGGACAGGCTTCCGGGTCAGCGATACAGCGAGACACAGCGAAACTCATCCTGAGCACACACAAACACTCACAGCCGAAGTGAAAACAATAAGTGTGGCTTGATATTGAGTTAGAAAAAGGTTTATAACGCTGTGAGAATGGGTCTGCAGAGAGCATCTCTCCGCCATCCCAACTCGTCTATTACCAGCGTTCAGGGAGCTCTATGCAAGTCAATGGGGACTCCCTGTTAGTTAGCTAAGGGATCCTGGTGTGTGAGGTGCTCCACAGATTGGTCCATTTGGGCCAATCCGGTCATGTGTTGTTGATTTGGGTGTTCACACATCACAGAACCCAGGAAGTAAACAATGGAAAATGAGAAATGTCCAACGAGGCGTTCTGGGGCAGCATAGACAGGTCTTTTCTGTGTTAGAGTTTTACTCACTACAGGGTGTACTTTGAGGGTTTTGACTCTGCAGACCGTTCACATGCAGACAAACCTTCATAACACACAAGGGGCCGGGTAATAACCGGAAAAGCATGACATGGGCCCTTTAAGGATAAAAACAAGTGTTAAATAAATCATGCGTCATGTGGTCAGCTGAGCAGCAGAGGGCGCTGTGACTCCACAAAACAGTATGTTGTAAAAGCAAATTACTCTTTATTGAAACACTTCATTAAAAAACAGTCAGATGTCAGTTTTACACATTTTTGCAGCAACATTTATGTACATGTATCCAATTTAATCCAATAAATACAAATAAACAGCACAGATAATGTAAAATACACAAAGATTAAAACAGGAACAGTTTTTTTTTTTTAAGCAGGTTTTAACGACGGCCTTTAAATCAGGCGGGGTTAGCGTTGGGAGGCGCTGACGGTCGGGTTGGGTGGTGCTGACGGGCGGGTGAAGGTGCTGTGGCTGATCTGGTAGCAGATTTGGTTCAGACCATCGTCATCCACACTTTGGTACTTTGTCAGACAAAGATCCATCCATGGCCGCTCAGCTGAGGGAACAGAACATCGATATGAAACACCTGGACTCAGTGTTACTAAAACCCTTTGTGAACAGTCAGAAATACACTACAATTATACAGCTTTCTACACTTAACGTTTTTCGACTGTAAGTGTAAATATGCACATTCACTATTGTATCTCGTTGCACTGTCATCGCTACTACCTCTGCTTTTACCACTCTTATTTATTTATTTATTTGTGTCTATTTTTTACTGGGGTGTGCTAGTGACTTATCCGACCGGCCCACCTCGGTGCCGCAAGTAAATACTGCTAGTAAATGTATCCGACCGGCCCACATCGTCCGACCGGCCCACTTCAGTACCGGCCCTGGGTTCAACCAACGATTGACTTTTAGTCCTTCTTTAAAACGGTACAAGAAACTCAAAACGGTGCATGTGTTGCTTCATGGGAAACTTTACCTACAAGGTTCACGTTTGTAAATCAACAATTCACTCTGTGTTAAATTGCATTATTAAAGAAAGTGTCTTTTTTTCTCAAATATGGGGAAATTATAGGAAAAATATCGGGAAATAATATTATATGAAAAGGAGGAAAGCCCATGATCAAACTTCCTGTAGTTAGCTAACGTCACATGACATTTTTTATTTTCTTATTTTAGGAGAGAACCAAACCAGTTGCTCATCCAACTGGCTCTGGTTTGTACTTTGATTATGTTTACGATGCACTTCCTATCATATTTATTCCTCCCTAATCCACGAAAGGCTGATCTGTGTATCTACTCGTTCTAAATAAGCAGATGTATCAGTTAGTAACTCGTGTATAATGTTGCAGGACTTTCATCTCTTTACTCCAGCTGTTTGAATGAATGTAATGTACAGGGTTCATCTCATGGATGTATAATAAGAACTGGATACAGCGTGGGAGGCGGGGTCTCGTTCTTTCCTATGAGAGTTGCTCAGTGGCGCATGAAGACAAAATGGCCCAACTTTTGAGAGAGCGAAACGTCACGAAAGCATTCATATAATCATATATAATGGATAATTGATAATCCGTTCTTATTGTGCATCCATGGGTAAAGGTACAACTCATGTAGTGCTGAACACGCCACATGAACGTGCCGGGCGGCGCGGTCCCGTGGGTTGGATCCGCGTTCATAATGCTGAGGGAAATAACTCTCAGAATAACGTTATTAGCACATTTTACAACTTGAGGACTGAATGTTTTTAATAAGGGCTATACAAGTGTTCATACTGGGTAGCTTATTTAGTTTAAAAAAAATTATCCAACGATTTACAGACGTCTCTTTCCCCATGTTAGTCAATGGGAAAAAGTCTTTCCGGGCCCAGCAACCTATACGGAAGTGTAGTACCGCCGTTTGGCCACAACGAATATTTTCCTCAGAGTCCGGCGCACTTCCTGGGGGCTTGGTTCATACACTTTTTCACCAATGATTTTCAATGACTTCTCCATGACCTTTACCTAATTTTCCATGACCAAAGAAAGTACTCTTTCTCAGCGGTACCACTGAAAATGGTTTATTTTAACATGGAACAGGAAAATAAGGTCTGCATATGAAACATGTCGTGCCTATCTAAAACAAATCAACTAGAGGGCGTGATTGTAAACATCTCTCCCCAGCAAAATACCTCGACAGTTAAATGCCATTTTACATTTCCTTACTATACGATACAGTATTTATTATCATTATAGTATTACTATTTCGGCGATTAGATAAAATATAAATTATATTTGATGCAACTTTAGTTAAATTTCCTTGACTTTTCCAGGTTTTTAATGACCGTACGAACCCTGAATGTAATGTAATAATAACAGATGTACCGGTGCTGCCCCCTGCTGGACAGAGGGAGTCCATTGATTGGCTGATTATGTCCTGAGCTTCCTGATTGGCTGCCGCGTCCTCCGCTGACACGCCGAAGAACTCCTCCTGATGAGAGAGACAAAACATAATCATCATCGTCGTCATCGTCGTCATCATAATCGTCGTCGTCATCATCATCACTCATTAAAATATACACAACTCTTTCTGAACAGTTTCCGGTGGTTTCATCATGTGTTTTTTTCCCGTTAAGATGTTTATTTGATGTCAGAACTTCAGATCTCTGCAGAAGAGTTTAGATTTCATCAAAACGTTCCTTGTTATTTTCACTGATATAAAAGTAGTCTTTGCTGTCAGTCCAAACATATCACTCCACGTATTTAGAGCCGGAGAAAACACACTCCCTCATCATATCAGAGACATCTCATTCCTACAAGACATATTTTTATTTTAATGTGTTTTTTATTTCACCTTTTTAACTTAACTTCTGTTATTTATACAAATCTTTATTGCACATTTTCAATTTTGTTTATTTGAATATTTATATCCTATTTTCTTTTATTGGCACACTTTTCTTTAACTTATGTTATGTTCATATAAATATTTGTGTTTATTATATCTTTTATTATAATTATTTTGTGTCATGACCGAAAGAACGAGATGGCGGATACTAGGGGCCGAGATGGCTTTTCTCCGCAGGGTGGCTGACGTCATAAATATTTGTATTCCTTTTATTTCATTTAATCTTTTATTGTACATTTTTATTAACTTATTTCGTTAACATAAATACTTTTAATGTAACTTTGTTTGAAATGATCTTTTTCTTTCACATAAATCAATATCTGTATTTTATTGCACATCTTTACTTCTCATGCATTAAAATATTTGATTCTATTTTACCGGTCACATTTTCCCCGTGATAAAAAAAAGTATTTATTATCAGAGGAGATGAATTTGGTTGCACACACACAGTGACGAATAACACACACATGCCATGCAGGTCACAGTAGGTCCATATATATATACATTAAGACACACAGCAGTAACTTTTTAATCTCTCCTCCTCATGATCTAATCTCCTCTGATCCTGAGTCAGCAGCTTTTTAAACGGGGTGTAACTCACGGCGCTTCTCCACAGGAAGACGTGCAGCGAGTCGGAAACGTCCCGCAGCTCGAGCTTCATCAGGAGGACGAAACGCAGCGGGACCACGCCCAGAGCTGAGGAACCAGAGGAGACGTTAAAACACACACACACACATATGTGAGGAGCAAAGCTAACAGACCTGAGATCAGCCTGAAACAAACAGCTGAGTCAGGAGAACGACTCAAAGTTTGAGTGAAAGAGCGAGGAGTTCAGAAACTAAAGAAAGATTCAGGTATTGTCTGAAAGTCCTCTCTCTCACCTTCTGCGATGATCTTCTCATCCAGTATTCTGCCTCCTCCTGCACACACAGGTTCCCTCACTGCAGCCTCAGAGCATCGCTCACACCTGAAACACACAGGAAACATCAAGAGGACCGGAGCTTTTCGGGGCTAATGCTCATTGGAAGAGCCATTTGAATGACTTCATGTTTGGGTGTTATTCACTGTGTGTGCCATCGGGTGTCGCTGTCCGATTCCCTATGGCACAGGCATTTAAGGTGTGTGTTGGTACAGGCATTTAAGGTGTGTGTTGGCACAGGCATTTAAGGTGTGTGTTGGCACAGGCATTTAAGGTGTGTGTTGGTACAGGCATTTAAGGTGTGTGTTGGTACAGGCATTTAAGGTGTGTGTTGGTACAGGCATCTAAGGTGTGTGTTGGCACAGGCATTTAAGGTGTGTGTTGGTACAGGCATTTAAGGTGTGTGTTGGTACAGGCATTTAAGGTGTGTGTTGGTACAGGCATTTAAGGTGTGTGTTGGTACAGGCATTTAAGGTGTGTGTTGGTACAGGCATCTAAGGTGTGTGTTGGTACAGGCATTTAAGGTGTGTGTTGGCACAGGCATCTAAGGTGTGTGTTGGCACAGGCATTTAAGGTGTGTGTTGGTACAGGCATTTAAGGTGTGTGTTGGTACAGGCATTTAAGGTGTGTGTTGGTACAGGCATTTAAGGTGTGTGTTGGTACAGGCATCTAAGGTGTGTGTTGGTACAGGCATTTAAGGTGTGTGTTGGTACAGGCATCTAAGGTGTGTGTTGGTACAGGCATTTAAGGTGTGTGTTGGTACAGGCATTTAAGGTGTGTGTTGGTACAGGCATCTAAGGTGTGTGTTGGTACAGGGATTTAAGGTGTGTGTTGGTACAGGCATTTAAGGTGTGTGTTGGCACAGGCATTTAAGGTGTGTGTTGGTACAGGCATTTAAGGTGTGTGTTGGTACAGGCATTTAAGGTGTGTGTTGGCACAGGCATCTAAGGTGTGTGTTGGCACAGGCATTTAAGGTGTGTGTTGGTACAGGCATTTAAGGTGTGTGTTGGCACAGGCATCTAAGGTGTGTGTTGGCACAGGCATTTAAGGTGTGTGTTGGTACAGGCATTTAAGGTGTGTGTTGGTACAGGCATTTAAGGTGTGTGTTGGTACAGGCATTTAAGGTGTGTGTTGGTACAGGCATCTAAGGTGTGTGTTGGTACAGGCATTTAAGGTGTGTGTTGGCACAGGCATTTAAGGTGTGTGTTGGTACAGGCATTTAAGGTCACCTATTATGCAAAACCCTCTTCTTCATGTCTCTTCTACATCAACATGTGTCCCCTCTTCTTCATGTCTCTTCTACATCAACATGTGTCCCCTCTTCTTCATGTCTCTTCTACATCAACATGTGTCCCCTCTTCTTCATGTCTCTCCTACATCAACATGTGTCCCCTCTTGTTCATGTCTCTCCTACATCAACATGTGTCCCCTCTTGTTCATGTCTCTCCTACATCAACATGTGTCCCCTCTTCTTCATGTCTCTTCTACATCAACATGTGTCCCCTCTTCTTCATGTCTCTTCTACATCAACATGTGTCCCCTCTTCTTCATGTCTCTTCTACATCAACATGTGTCCCCTCTTCTTCATGTCTCTCCTACATCAACATGTGTCCCCTCTTCTTCATGTCTCTTCTACATCAACATGTGTCCCCTCTTCTTCATGTCTCTTCTACATCAACATGTGTCCCCTCTTCTTCATGTCTCTTCTACATCAACATGTGTCCCCTCTTCTTCATGTCTCTTCTACATCAACATGTGTCCCCTCTTCTTCATGTCTCTTCTCCATCAACATGTGTCCCCTCTTCTTCATGTCTCTTCTACATCAGCATGTGTCCCCTCTTCTTCATGTCTCTTCTACATCAACATGTGTCCCCTCTTCTTCATGTCTCTTCTACATCAACATGTGTCCCCTCTTCTTCATGTCTCTTCTACATCAACATGTGTCCCCTCTTCTTCATGTCTCTTCTACATCAACATGTGTCCCCTCTTCTTCATGTCTCTTCTTCATCACCATGTGTCCCCTCTGTGTAAAGAGACTCTGAAAGTTTCAGGAACAAAGATTCTCTCTCTTTTTGATCCATTTCTATAAAAACCTGTCTGAAAATGAGCTGATCAGATTTTGGCCACTTTATGATGTCATCACGATGTTTTGGCTTGTGTAACCATTAGCCAATCACCAACCAAGGTAACCCCCCCCCCCCCACCTTATCACCTGAATCTCCTCCTAGAGCACCATTGTGTTCTTTTTAACCAAATCTCTCTCAGAGGGGCGTGGGGAGGGGCTCCTTATTTTCATCTAAAGTAACAGACAGAGAATCAGCTCTTTGCTACCAGAGTAGAAATGTCTGCTTGTTTGCTATAAAATGTAGCGTATGACTGATCTAAAGGAGCTCTAAGTGTACCCGTAGTATGTCCTCGTGCCTCTGAACAGGAACGGGGCAGACGGGTGGAGCAGAGTCAGTTGACCTCCAGACGACCTCACAGGGACGATGTTCTGGTAACCGGACGAGAGGACACACGTTTCCTCCAGAGAGGAACCTGCAACAACAAAACCTCCGTCAGCAGGGATCTGATGCAAAGAGAAAAACTTGAAGAGGCCCTACTATGCTTTTTGGGGGTTGGAGAGGACTCTTTAAAGTAGAGACACTGGATACTGATATGAACCTGAACATCAGCAGGAGAGGACTCTTTAAAGTAGAGACACTACATACTGATATACACCTGATCATCAGCAGGAGAGGACTCTTTAAAGTAGAGACACTACATACGGATATACACCAGAACATCAGCAGGAGAGGACTCTTTAAAGTAGAGACACTGGATACTGATATGAACCTGAACATCAGCAGGAGAGGACTCTTTAAAGTAGAGACACTACATACTGATATACACCTGAACATCAGCAGGAGAGGACTCTTTAAAGTAGAGACACTACATACGGATATACACCTGAACATCAACAAGAGAGGACTCTTTAAAGTAGAGACACTACATACTGATATACACCTGAACATCAGCAGGAGAGGACTCTTTAAAGTAGAGACACTACATACTGATATACACCTGAACACCAGCAGGAGAGGACTCTTTAAAGTAGAGACACTACATACTGATATACACCTGAACATCAGCAGGAGAGGACTCTTTAAAGTAGAGACACTACATACTGATATACACCTGAACATCAGCAGGAGAGGACTCTTTAAAGTAGAGACACTACATACTGATATACACTTGAACATCAGCAGGAGAGGACTCTTTAAAGTAGAGACACTACATACTGATATACACTTGAACATCAGCAGGAGAGGACTCTTTAAAGTAGAGACACTACATACTGATATACACCTGAACATCAGCAGGAGAGGACTCTTTAAAGTCGAGACACTACATACTGATATACACCTGAACATCAGCAGGAGAGGACTCTTTAAAGTAGAGACACTACATACTGATATACACCTGAACATCAGCATGAGAGGACTCTTTAAAGTAGAGACACTACATACTGATATACACCAGAACATCAGCAGGAGAGGACTCTTTAAAGTAGAGACACTACATACTGATATACACCTGAACATCAGCATGAGAGGACTCTTTAAAGTAGAGACACTACATACTGATATACACCTGAACATCAGCAGGAGAGGACTCTTTAAAGTAGAGACACTACATACTGATATACACCTGAACATCAGCAGGAGAGGACTCTTTAAAGTAGAGACACTACATACTGATATACACCTGAACATCAGCAGGAGAGGACTCTTTAAAGTAGAGACACTACATACTGATATACACCTGAACATCAGCAGGAGAGGACTCTTTAAAGTAGAGACACTACATACTGATATACACCTGAACATCAGCAGGAGAGGACTCTTTAAAGTAGAGACACTACATACTGATATACACCTGAACATCAGCAGGAGAGGACTCTTTAAAGTAGAGACACTACATACTGATATACACCTGAACACCAGCAGGAGAGGACTCTTTAAAGTAGAGACACTACATACTGATATACACCTGAACATCAGCAGGAGAGGACTCTTTAAAGTAGAGACACTACATACTGATATACACCTGAACATCAGCAGGAGAGGACTCTTTAAAGTAGAGACACTACATACTGATATACACCTGAACACCAGCAGGAGAGGACTCTTTAAAGTAGAGACACTACATACTGATATACACCTGAACATCAGCAGGAGAGGACTCTTTAAAGTAGAGACACTACATACTGATATACACCTGAACATCAGCAGGAAAGGACTCTTTAAAGTAGAGACACTACATACTGATATACACCTGAACATCAGCAGGAGAGGACTCTTTAAAGTAGAGACACTACATACTGATATACACCTGAACACCAGCAGGAGAGGACTCTTTAAAGTAGAGACACTACATACTGATATACACCTGAACATCAGCAGGAGAGGACTCTTTAAAGTAGAGACACTACATACTGATATACACCTGAACACCAGCAGGAGAGGACTCTTTAAAGTAGAGACACTACATACTGATATACACCTGAACACCAGCAGGAGAGGACTCTTTAAAGTAGAGACACTACATACTGATATACACCTGAACATCAGCAGGAGAGGACTCTTTAAAGTAGAGACACTACATACTGATATACACCTGAACATCAGCAGGAGAGGACTCTTTAAAGTAGAGACACTACATACTGATATACACCTGAACATCAGCAGGAGAGGACTCTTTAAAGTAGAGACACTACATACTGATATACACCTGAACATCAGCAGGAGAGGACTCTTTAAAGTCGAGACACTACATACTGATATACACCTGAACATCAGCAGGAGAGGACTCTTTAAAGTAGAGACACTACATACTGATATACACCTGAACATCAGCAGGAGAGGACTCTTTAAAGTAGAGACACTACATACTTTAAATCTTGAATATAACATTTTAACTGTTGGTTGTGTTACCCATGAGGAAGAGGAGCTGCTTGTACATGAACTCTGTGGACAGGTGGACTCCCAGAGTTCGTGTCTTGGATCCCGGGGGGTTTCCGGGGACGTCGACCTGCCCAGAGACCGCCCAGTCGGGGGGGCTGAAGGGGCCGGAGTCTCGTGACGCCTCGGAGAAGAGACCCGCCAACATCTCGTCATCTGGGACTTCCTGCCTGAGACCAGAGGGGGAATATTTAATTTAACAGTTCGTTTAACTTGTTGTTAGTGTGAGTGGTGTGTGAGTGTGTGTGTGTGTGTGTGTGTGTGTGTGAGTTCCTACAGTGTAGAGCACTTGCTGCAGTACAGCTTCAGAGACTGGTGGAGTTTCTGAGGCTCGTAGGATTTCAGCTGGACTCTGACGTGATGAACTCCAGCCGGACCGGAGCGCTTCACCTCGGAGAGAGACACCGAGTGTGTGTCGTGATCACAGCGTCTCTCTGACACACACACACACACACACACACACACACACACACACACACACACACACACACACACACACACACACACACACACACACACACACACACACACACACACACACACACACACACACACACACACACACACACACACACACACACACACACACACACACACACACCACACACACACACACACACACACACACACACACACACACCACACACACACACACACACACACACACACACACACACACACACACACACACACACACACACACACACACACACACACACACACACACACACACACACACACACACACACACTTCATTATGATAGTCAAGAAAACTCTCCTGGTGAATTGTATTCAAATTCCAACAACATTTACCCCTCCCTCATCAACCTTGAAGTTTAGCCTCACGTAGGGTGGTCCTTAAAATCTCACACACCTCAATCTGACAACATGTACCCCCCCCCCCCCTCATGCACGGTGCTGCAACTGAGGCTACACTTCCAGGTCGATGAGGGGGGGGTACATGTTGTCAGATTGAGGAAAACATTCACCAGGAGAGTCTTCTTGACTAATAGAATGAATTCTGGGGGTTGGAGCTTAGACTTTCCGACTCTCAATTTTAAGGACCACCCTATTGTACATGTTCAGATAACTGCCACGTGTGGAATGAATACATAAATAACTAAACACTAAGAAAGGAATATAAAGTGTTTTGCTTGCAGACCTGTGGAGCTGCTGCAGTCTGTGTTGATGCTCTCCGATGTTTCAGCATCTACAAACAGAAACAGAGGAAACACCAGGGACTGAAACAGACTTGGTTCAAACCATATTTAGTTTTTTTTTAATAAAAAGTTCTTTAGATCTCCTTTTTTATTCTACAAAATGAGAGAGCAGCAGTTTCAAGAAAATATCTAAAATATCTTAAAAAAGCTAAAAAAAAACATTTGAATTTCCCGTTTCTTCAAGAACATATTTCATCTATTGAAAAGGATCAGTTATGAGAAACTAACCTACTTCTTAATCAAATATAAGCACAGGTTAGTTACATAAAAAAGAGTGTGTAGTTTGGAATACAAAATGAAATGCAATGAGGTCAAGATTGATGTATAATAGCAAAGGGAACAAATTGAGTTAACCCTTGTGTTGTGTTTGAAAGCTGTTACCGTTCATGGTGTTCGCGGGTCAGTTTTGAGCCATGATTTATCTCAGTCCAAAACACTCAAAAAAATGACTATCATCTAATATTGTTTTAACTACATCATAACTAACTTATAATGCATTCATAACCGTACAATCCTGTTGTAATTTAATGTTATGGCCCGAAACACATTACACCACATATTGCACACGTGACCCCGAGTGACCCACAACAATGCTGCTGGGTCTCCCCAGACCCGAACACCAAATTATACACTTTTTTTTTTTAGAGACCTTCAGACTTGGCAAAAATTGTTTAAAGGGGACCTATCATGCAAAATGCACTTTTGTACGTCTTTTATACATGATTCCAGGGAACTCACCAAGTGTCAGAAAACACAACCCTCTCTATTTTCCTCCATACCCAAATCTCTAAAAAATGGGGCTGCAACGGATCTGATACAGACTGATCCAGATTTGAACACTTCTATGTCGTCACAGAAGTGGCGTTACCGCTATTGGGCCAACTCTCCACCTATCAGGGGAATGTGGGGTTGGGCCACGGCCGGCCATTGCCGCTCGAAAGCGCTGGAGACGCTGTAGTACATATGCCAGGCCTGTAAGTGGCGCTGTAGTCTGCCACAAAAGCAGCGAAGAAGACTTCCCGCCCATAGTTACCATGGTTACCCTTCTGTTTATTCTCCGCTGTGGCTTTTTTTCTCCCTCCCCGAGGCAAGCATTTGCTCCCGCTGCTTTAATTCAATGCAATCCCTCCCCGTCGAGGCAAGCACTGTAATTATCTCCGGTTAGTCCACCAGCAGATGACAAACACCCACCTCTCCGCCTCTTCCAAGGAACGAGAGGACCGTGCGGCAGAGTTTCAGTTTCAGTTTCTTTCGCCGGTCAAGATGTCCGTTAAAGTTTAAATCTTCCGGACAAAATTAGAAAAGTGCCGGTCAAAGGTCTTCTTTGTTATTTATTGAGCTTTAAAACAAATGAATAACGACCAGTGGCAGCCGGTCCATAGGGGCGCCGCCCCACCTCTTCCCATATTTAAAAATAAAAATAAAAAATATATTTAAAAAAAAATATATATTTTTATTTTTATTTTTAATGAACAAGGTAAATATTATATAATTGGTATCAGTAAAATGTATAATCTACAATAAAATCTCGTTTAAAATTGTGTTACGATGTCTAAAGTTACTGATAAGTCACATGTTTCCTGCCTGGCCTTGCCCGTGTACCTTCTCTCGTCTGGGCGCTAAGAGAGGAGCCCTCAACCAGTGCAGCAGCAGCCACTGGCAGCTGACTGTTGCTATCTGTAACGTGTAAACTATGCCGCGAAAACATAATTTCAGCCAATCAGCGTCGTCAAATATGATGGTCACAGGGCTCCTACGTGAGCGCCCGGTGCAGTCTGTGAGTTGTTTGGACTCGTATCCAAGGAGACAAAACAGGAAGCTGTCATACACTCTGAAGCTACTAACTAAGCAGCTAATGAAAACTCAGTTTTTGACATAAAAATTGAATTATGGATCATCAATCATTTTTCAAAGTGACAGACACATTGGATTAACCTATGGATTAACCTTCAGCTGCGTTTTTCTCGTTTTTGATCAGAATTGTTATTCTGCAAAAGGTGAGCATATCTCCGTGTTTTGCTACCTAAAGCTACGTCGTGTGATGTCTGTATTTGCTTCCCCTGTCGCGAGTTCTGATCGCTCAGTGATGATACTTATATTTCTAGAATATGTGGAATCTCAGCTTGTAAGCTTGTTTGTGCATATCCGATAAGTATATCGATTGATTTATACCTAGAGTGCGTTAGCATTTTTCGCTCAGGGCTCATTTAGACGCTTCTTGTGAGACTTGTGTTTTGTTTCGGTAAACATGGTTCATATCATCAGTCAGCTGCGTTTCCTCTGAGTAGGACACATGAATAGTTTATTACATTTTAAGAAGCCCTGAGACACAGTTTCGTGAGAAAAAAAACGGGGGGAAAAAAGCCCCTTAACAGGTTAAATGGGAATTAAATCAGTGTTCCCAAAGCCCCGGTGTTCTGCAGTTTGTGTGGGCCTACTGTACTGTTGCACAGTTTATGCTGTAGAAACTATGTCCAGGACAAGGAGTTTGGAAGTTTTGGAAGATTCATAGCTAACCACACTGAAGTTATGGAGGTATTGATCAGTCTTCTCATATTTTTAAGCCTCAAATTGTCCTTCTCCCCCCCCCCTCTAACATCACCAGAAGTCATGATTTAAGGGGTCTTTGCTCAAAAAAAATTACCGGGGGAGCATCCCCCCGGACCCCTCTAGTATTGTTTGATCACCATTTCCACAGCCCCACCTAAAATATTTTCCACCAGCCGCCACTGATAACGACTCTATATAGGCTATAATAAAACACGGAGGACGGAGATCTCTTTTTCTCCCCCTCTTCTGACAGCCCAGCAGCTGATCAGAGCACGGCTCCCCTCTCCTGCAGGGGGGCGTGGTCAGCTGCAGCTCACAAAATCAGACCCGTAGACAGCAAACAACACATAGAGCGAAATGAGGCATGGCTAAAATGCATGATCTGTTTGGTATTTTGAAAACATGATAGGTCCACTTTAAATCAGTTGTGTAGTGTTTATATAGCTGTTGTGGAGGATATCATGAAGCCTTGGTCCGATAAAAAAAAAACTAGTAGTTATTATATAATTTGAACTTGAAGAGGGTCACGGGAGACCCGAACACAACATAAGGGTTAAGTGTTAAAACTATACTTTGAATTTGTTTTTACTTATTTTAAGGTATATTTGTAATATCAGTAGCTTCAAGTAATTAATTGAATATCCTTTTTACCTTCTCCTCGTGCAGACTCTGGTATCTGTGCCCTTAAAAGACTTGGCTCTGATAAAAAAACAAAAACAGAAACAGTGACTTTAGTCCGTGCACATTGTTGATAAAGAAGTGACTTTTAGAAAGACTGTTTGTTTCTGCTCCTGTAAAGAAACTGCGGCACAAATATTTTAAGAATTGCACAACAGAAATCATGCCTGCAGCTCTGCACACAGCTGCAGCTCTAAAAGATCCGCTCAGCACTCACAAAGCTGTGTGTGTGTGTGTGTGTGTGTGTGTGTGTGTGTGTGTGTGTGTGTGTGTGTGTGTGTGTGTGTGTGTGTGTAAACCTTGAGGTCACTGTCCAAGTTTGGACTTTCTATTTCATCCCCACTGAAGCGTGGGCTTTTAGATGCCCCTCTAATGGAAGCATCTCCTGCAGCTTCAGTCCAGCCTCTCTCCTCTTCCTCCTCTTCCTCAGTCTAAAAATCTCTCCGTGTGAGCCGCCAGGAAGCTCAGATTTACGCTCCGAGCAGACGTTATCTAATCAAAGAGCAGCGGGCGGGCAGCACTTACAGCACTCTGTCTACTTGAGATTTCAGTCACGCAATAAAAATATTTGAGATGTTTGAGAGTTTTTTCGGAAAACACAAAAGAGGATGATGTTACATTTTCAATTTCCAACGACGAGTGATAAAGTGGATGCCAACTTCTCCTTGAATATGGAGGGAACAGGGAGGCTGTGGCTCAGTGCATAGTGCGCTGGACTTCGAATCAGGGGATAGCAAGTTCGAGTCCCACTGCAGTCAGCATGTCATTGTGTCCCTGAGACACTTCACCCCAAATTGCTCCTGTGGGGATTGTCCACAGTACTGAGTATGTAAGTCGCTTTGGATAAAAGCGTCTAACAAGTGACATGTAATGTAATGTAATAGGCCTCCACTTTTGTATAGTTAGGACTTTTAGGTAGACTACAGTATATGAAGGTTTAACAATGATTTAATCACTTAAAGGTAGGGTAGGTAATTTTGGAGAAACCAGCTCGAGATCGCTAGAATTTGAAAATACACAACCGGAGAAAATCTGCCACTTCCTTACAGAGCCCCTCCTCCAACACACACGAACGCGCACATGACCAATGAGGGCACGAGATAAGTTTGTGCACAGATGGAAGGCTGACAGGCAGGTAGGCCATCCAGTTATTTTAGCCGGGCCGGCTAAAATGATTGGTCGTGCTTTTTACAGTACTACAGCTTCCACAGATGATATTATTTTATGGATTTTTTGTCAAAGCACTTAAGATTTTCATTGCTATCGGGATGTTAAGAGCATTCCATGGAATATAACAAAAAGTGTATCTCGAGCCGGTTTCTCAAACTTACCTACCCCACCTTTAAGGTTTTGACTTTTTCCTAGTGTTTAATATGGTAGCCAACAGATGCAAACACGTCCCAAAACATTTCCATTAGGAGAAACGCACTTAAGTTCACAAAACGATCAAATATAAAAACACAAATGTGTCAAAACAAACGCAAAGGAAGAAACATCTTCACCAACAGATTTCCCCTTCAATATGGAGAGGAAAGCTCAATTTCAGACGGATAAAATACATTCTTAAAAAGTGAAGTTATTGTACATCAGGACTTTGTCTCTCTGTAATCAAAAGATAAATCGATCTCTCCATAAACAATAGATATCCAACAGTCTACAGAAACTGAGCATAGGGACAGTAGTGCTGTTAGCTGAATGCTACGTAGCATTAGTTTCTCCTCTGTTATAGTCGATGGTTTAGTGGAAAGACTGATCAATTATAGATCTATCCAACATAGATTCATACCGATGGACTCAGGCGGCGTGCTCCAGATCTCCATCAACTCTGAGTCGTTCAGAGCGGAGAAATCGTCTTCATCATCCTCTGGACACGCCTCCATGACTCTACAGATACAGACACAAGGAGACACCTGGTTAGGAGACGTACGATCACAGTCACACATATATAAATACAGTTAGGAGAACTGAAGGAGAATGGAACAATAATCAACATGTACAAATGAAAAGGGATGCACCAACAAGGATTTAGTGTTATACTAAAGCTCAGTTAAAAGTCCTTTGAGTTCTCTTTTAAACAGTTGTTTTAATTCAGAACTAAAGCCAACTTGTAAACAACTGAAAAACGAAAGTCAGCCGTTCCTTACATCTCATTTGGCTGATGCTTTTATCCAAAAGCGACTTTCAAGTGCAATCAACCATGAAGAAACTAACTCAAAACAGCAACAATACTTCAAGTCCTGAGCTTTCACTCACTAAAACCTTTTGAAGTGCTACAGACAGAAAGATTTCAGTCTTTGACGGATGACGTGTAAGGCAAGGCAAGGCAAGACAAGGCGAGGCGAGGCGAGGCGAGGCGAGGCGAGGCGAGGCGAGGCGAGGCGAGGCGAGGCGAGGCGAGGCAAGTTTATTTATATAGCACTTTTCTGTACGCGACAATTCAAAGTGCTTTACAAAACAAATTAAAATACTTTTTATGAATAAATACAGTAAAAACACATTATATAATGGCATTTTACAACAGGCGTTACAAAGCAAAGATAATAAAAATAATAAAATAAACACCACCGGTATACAATACATGTTTAAAAGGCATACTGTAGTTCGAATATGAGCAGCTCAATTAAAAGCAGCGGCAAAGAGATATGTTTTTAGTCTGGATTTAAAAATGGTAAGCGTTTCTGCGGACGTGATTCAGGTAGTTTGTTCCAGAGTGTCGGGGCATAACAGCTAATGCTGCCTCTCCATGTTTTGTTGTTACTCTCGGAGCCGATAGCAGATCCGTCCCAGAAGACCTGAGGCACCTTGATGGCTCGTAATGATGGCTTGTGTAGGAGTTCATCAATATACTTTGGTCCTAAACCATGTAATGATTTAAAAACTAGGAATAGTACTTTAAAATCAATTCTTTGGCCGACTGGAAGCCAGTGTAAAGATTTCAGAACCGGACTGATGTGATCCACTTTCTTAGTGTTAGTGAGGACTCGTGCAGCAGCGTTCTGAATCAGCTGCAGCTTTCTGTGAAGACACTATTGCAGTAGTCGAGTCGACTGAAAATAAAAGCATGGACAAGCTTTTCTAAGTCCTGCTGTGACATTAGTTTTTTAATCCTCGATATATTCTTCAGGTGGTAATAAGCAGACCTAATGACTGTTGTAATGTGGCTGTTGAAATTCAGGTCTGAGTCCTTCACTACACCCAGATCTCTGGCTTTATTAGTGGTTTTGTAGTCATGCCGACTGAAGCTCTGCGAGTACTTTTAATCGGCCCTTCTTTGCTCAAAAAACAATGATCTCAGTTTTTTGTTTGTTCAGTTGGAGAAAGTTAGTAAGTAAGTAAGTCAAACTTTATTTATATACTGTAGCACCCTTCTCAACACGAATGTACAAAGTGCTTTACAGTACAGTACACAATTCACAGTACAACTAAAATGTAGAATAAAAGGCATAAAACAACAGCAGGTAATACATAGGATAAAACACCAATAAAAGACAGCTACTAACTCACCTCCTCCGACGCCCCAAAGGCCTGTCGGAAGAGGTGGGTCTTTAGCTGCCCCTTAAAAATCTCTATTGAGGGAGAGGTTTTTATTTTCTGGGGGAGTTTGTTCCAAAGCCTTGGGGCCACCGCCTCAAATGCACGGTCCCCCTTAGTCTTTAGCCTGGTTCGGGGCACCCTTAGGAGGCCTTGCTCAGAGGACCAAAGTTCTGAGTCATCCAGTCAGATGTGCTCAATGCACTTGCTCAGTGTACTGTAGACTTTATTGTGTCTTGATATCAATTAAACAACTGCTTTGGTGTTATCTTTTCAAATTGTGAATCACAGCAGGAACCAGAGCTCTGTTTGCAACATAAAGCACGTTCACGACTATTCTTTTCAGGATTCAAGATTCAGATTCAAGGCTTTATTGTCATGTGCACATTAGCTACAGTGTAGATATGGCAACAGAGCAACATGAATATATATAGGACATAAACTAATGAAACCAATACAAATAGGGAAATAAATAACAATAGAAATAAAATAGTGCAATTCAACCCATAGTTTATCTCAGTATACATTTGTCCCTTGTCTCCTGTATAAATGTGTCTTTTTTTAATTTTGTATATATAATATCTTTATTACATTTTTCAAATACAACACAAAACAGAACAGCTCAGACATGACAAGACAAGTAAGCGACGTAGATAAGAACAAGAAATAAAAAACACTGCACAATGTAGGGATCCCCAACCTCTACCATTCTCTATCCGGGGGATAGAGGCAACAACAACATTAAAGGGGACCTATCATGCAAAATGCACTTTTGTACGTCTTTTCTACATGAATATGTGTCCCCGGTGTTCCAGGGAACTCACCAAGTGTCAGAAAACACAACCCTCTCTATTTTCCTCCATACCCAAATCTCTAAAAAAGGGGCTGCAACGGATCTGATAAAAACTGATCCAGATTTGAACACTGTCCTGACGTCAGGACGGTGGCGCTACGGCTATTGGGCCAACTCCACCAATCAGGAGGAGACAGCCACGGCCATTGCCGTTCGAAAGCGCTGGAGACGCTGTAGTACATATGCCAGGCCTGTAGGTGGTGCTGTTCTCACTGAATCTGCCCTTGCTAAAACAGAGCTAAAAAATGTCAAATTGAGCAAAATGAGGCATGGCTAAAATGCATGATCTGTTTGGTATTTTGAAAAAAAAAAAGTATAAATATGCCTTATATAGGTATGGTCCTACACTATATTATTAACATATAGCATGATAGGTCCACTTTAAGTTAGATAGTAATAATTATCAAAAATAAATGGACAATAAATGTGTCTTTTGATTGTGTATATATATATATATACACAATCAAAAGACACATTTATACAGGTCTTAATGTGTGCATATGTATAAATGTGTCTTTTGATTGTGTATATAAAAAGGTATACATATTTTTATATATATTTGGTTTTGTATTCTGGATTGTGGGAAACGGTATTTTGATCTCTCTGTCTGTGCACCCAAACTGAAAGATTGACAATCAAGTTGACTTTGTCTCCTGCCGTACCTCTTCATCTCCTGCACGTCGGGGCAGTCTTCTGGAAGCACCCGGATGCCCCTCCCGAAGGCGTTTCCTCCGTGCAGGTGGAAGGCCAGGTGGTCCAGCTCCTTCTGGCTGCTGGTGAGGCCCGGCACCTTGCTGGATCCTGGGATCGCTCGCAGGTTGTAGATCCGCAGGAACTCCCCGGGCTGATGGACAGACAAACGAGACGAAGAGGACATCAGAAAAGCATCAAATATAAGAAATGATTATTAAAGGTCACCTATTATGCAGAATCCACTTCTTCATGTCTCTTCTACATCAACATGTGTCCCCTCTTCTTCATGTCTCTTCTACATCAACATGTGTCCCCTCTTCTTCATGTCTCTTCTACATCAACATGTGTCCCCTCTTCTTCATGTCTCTTCTACATCAACATGTGTCCCCTCTTCTTCATGTCTCTTCTACATCAACATGTGTCCCCTCTTCTTCATGTCTCTTCTACATCAACATGTGTCCCCTCTTCTTCATGTCTCTTCTACATCAACATGTGTCCCCTCTTCTTCATGTCTCTTCTACATCAACATGTGTCCCCTCTTCTTCATGTCTCTTCTATATCAACATGTGTCCCCTCTTCTTCATGTCTCTTCTACATCAACATGTGTCCCCTCTTCTTCATGTCTCTTCTACATCAACATGTGTCCCCTCTTCTTCATGTCTCTTCTACATCAACATGTGTCCCCTCTTCTCCATGTCTCTTCTACATCAACATGTGTCCCCTCTTCTTCATGTCTCTTCTTCATCAACATGTGTCCCCTCTTCTTCATGTCTCTTCTACATCAACATGTGTCCCCTCTTCTTCATGTCTCTTCTACATCAACATGTGTCCCCTCTTCTTCATGTCTCTTCTACATCAACATGTGTCCCCTCTTCTTCATGTCTCTTCTACATCAACATGTGTCCCCTCTTCTTCATGTCTCTTCTACATCAGCATGTGTCCCCTCTTCTTCATGTCTCTTCTACATCAACATGTGTCCCCTCTGTGTAAAGAGACTCTGAAAGTTTCAGGAACAAAGATTCTCTCTCTTTTTGTCCTGATCCATTTCTATAAAAACCTGTCTGAAAATGAGCTGATCAGATTTTGGCCACTTTATGATGTCATAACGATGTTTTGTCTTGTGTAACCATTAGCCAATCACCAACCAAGGTAACCCCCCCCCCCACCTTATCACCTGAATCTCCTCCTAGAGCACCATTGAGTTCTTTTTAACCAAATCTCTCTCAGAGGGGCGTGGGGAGGGGCTCCTTATTTTCATCTGAAGTAACAGACAGAGACAAATGTGTGATCTGTGGTATTGCTATATAAATAAAATGTTTCTAAAACAAAAACATAGAAAACCAGTCAATCACAAAGCAGCCACGCCCTAAGACACACGATGTTTTATCGTCTATTTGACTCTGAATTGGACAATAATGTACAGAAACAACATCATGCTGTATTCAATACGTCTGGAAACTAGAGATTAAGACTCCAAACTCATTAGAAATCTGCTCCCGAGGTAATTAAACAAGAAAAAAGTCGGCTCATTTTCTCATAGACTTCTATAGAATCAGACTTCTTTGTGCAAACAGTGGAGTCGCCCCCTGCTGGACAGTAGATCAAATGCAGGCTTAAGGCACTTTTGGGGCAATTGTCTTTGGATTTCCACCCACAAGATAATGATTACATGCATTTATTTCTAATATTGTGTCCCTAAATGTGTGTTAATGGCCATAAAGGTTGACATCCAACCTCCTTAACCAACTCTTCTGATACTACCAACAAGCGGACATGTTTCCTCAACCATTTATCTCATCTTTGATCACACTGTTCACACTGTGGAGGTGTCAGTGTAGCCTTCACCAGGTTTTATCAACAGCAGATGGCGCTGTTGCACCAACCTACAGTGACAGTGTTTCAGAGGATGCTCAAAGGACTTGGTTTGGAGGTTTGTCATTTTTAGTTTTTTCTCCCCGTCACAACGAGCTTGCAGTCAACAGAAATCTTTCCTCCCTCTCTTCAGTGAGCGCTTCAGTGATCTAGTGTCAGACGTATTCACTCTTTAAACTGTTTTTACGTGACAGGGTCTCGTCAATTTAAGACCTAGATATTCCCATATATACAGTATGTGATCTTTAATTGCTTTATAGCCTGGGAGCAGAAGAATGACTCCGAAAGTGAAGCTTTCTTTAAATCCATTTCCTCCGTACAGTGAGTGAAGTTGGAGTCAGTGTCAGGGTGGATTAGCAGCTTCTCTCCGGAGGCCTCTCGCCCTCTGGAGATACTCATGAAGAGCTGACAGTTTAACTGGGAGGACTGGCAACTTTCCCTCACAGGGATGGATGTATTATTCTCAAACTATATATACTCGTCTAGAATTATGTCATCATTGCCCGATGTTACTGTGAAACTGACAAATGGGAAATCCGAAAAATGTCCCCATGCAATTAACAACTTAGGCTCGATTTGGAATCTTTTTCAAATGTGAAGTTGAGATCAAAATGAAGACTGCGTTCAAAATTATCAAGGGAACCAGAAGTCAGAGGAAAGGAAGCGAGGAAAGCTCCATTGGTTGTACGCCCATGCCCAGATTTGGACGTAGCAGCTCGTGAGACACTATTTCGAGACGGTTTCTAGTTTCATTAGATAGACAATTACATTTAGGATGTCAATGGCTAACTTGAGTGTGTGTTTAGGACAGAAATGACAAAACGGTCTTTGTTTTTGAGATATAGGGACTCATATTCTCTCACAGATGTCACACACTTGTGTTCTTAATGGTAAGTTCAGAAAGCAAAGTCAATATTGAAAAAAAATTCTCCGAATTCATGTAAAGTCATTGGAAAGATGCAAGTGTACGGAAGAGGATTAGGGCAATATTTGAAACGTTTTTGACCAAAAGTGTTTGTTTTTTTGTGGATTGTGACTCTGAACTCAGAACTCACATGTGGTCCTAATACTCTAGTACAAGTGAGTGTGAACAGACACAAATTGTCACAAGACATGCTTGAAAGTTTTTCCAACTGAAGTTAAAAAAAATCACGCTAATCCAAAAAAGAGCCTATTCCAAAAAAAATTGGAAACAGGAAAAACTCAAGTCTATTCTAACAGACGTGTGGATGTATTATCTGGAACTATATATACTCGTCTAGAATGATGTCATCATAACTGGATGTTACTGTGAAACTGACGGGAAATCCAGAAAATAAATTCACAAGCTGCCATTTAACCCATCCAATTTACAATTTAGGCTTTTTGGAATCTTTTTCAAATGTGAAGTTGAGATCAAAATGAAGACTGCGTTCAAAATGAGGTGTGGTCCAAACAAGGAGACCAGAAGTCTGAGGATAGGAAGCGAGGAAAGCTCTATTGGTTGTACGCCCATGCCCACATTTGAAGTACTAGCTCGTGAGACACTATTTCAAGACGGTTTCTAGTTTCATTAGGTAGACAATTCAGTTTAGGATGTCAATGGCTAACTTGAGTGGATTCTGTACACTTTGTATGTGTTGCGGACACAAATGATATACAGTCTTTGTTTTTGAGATATAAGGACTTCTATTCGCTCACAGATGTCACACACTTGTGTACGGAAGAGGATTAGGGCAATATTTGAAATATTTTTGAAAGGTTTTGACCAAAAGTGTTTTGTTTTTTTGTGGATGGTGACTCTAAACTCAGAACTAAAAAATAAATTCACATGTGGTCCTAATACTCTAGTACAAGTGAGTGTGAACTGACACCAAATCTCACAAGACATGCTTCAACGTATTCCAAATCAAGTTAAAAAAAAGAACGCTAATCCATAAAACAGGAGAAATAAAAGTCTATTCTAACAGACGTGAATTATTTTAGCATTAGTTGGAAACATAGCCTACTAAAATGCATAGTTACTAAATACTTAATCCCATCGAAAGACTGGATGATTTTGTACTACAAGATTAAAAAAAAGATTTGTGTTTTTCTCAAAATACCAAACAGATCTAGCCACGCCTCATACCCCTCTATTTCACTTCCTGTTTCAAAAGTGCTGATTTTGGCGTTTGATGATGAAACGCCATATCATGGATTATCAAGGATTGTCTCTGAAACAGTATGGAGCTCAAAGGCTTTCTCTCTTGCCGGTTATACCACAAGGTGAGTTCCTTTTTATTTCCTGCTTCTTCACACACATGCTCTCCAGTACAGGTTAGCTCTGAGTGTTAGCGATGCTAATGTAAACACAGACCATATTACATCCAAAACAGTCGGGCATTGTTTCTGATAGCAACGTTTCTGATAGGCCCGTGGGTCCACATTTCAGATATTACGTCATATCGGACGCAAATCTAGATCAGCTCCGTTGTTCCCCCGTTTTTAGAGATGTGGGTACGGAGGAAAAGAGAGAGGGTTTTATTTCCTGACACTTTGTGAGTTCTCCGACACACCGGGGACACATATTGATGTATAAAAGACATCAGAAAGTGCATTTTGCATGATAGGTCCCCTTGCAATAAAAGCACAGAAGAAGCACTCTTTTCTTCAGTTTACTCAGCAGCACTTTCTAAGTATGAAAGAGAACATGCTATATGAACACGGATCATTTTAAAGACCATATGAATCCCACTGTGGGAGGAAGCAAACAAAGACACCAAACACAGTATTTTTGTTTGCACATTCGCAGACTTTGCTCGGGTTTCTGTGTCCCCGGAGACCTGGATGTTTAGCCGAAAGAGACAAAAGAAAACAACTTTAAATTGAGAGAGTCTGTCTGTGTTTTCTCAGGGACTATAGCAGCATTTACCACAGTTTGTGTTTGCAAACAGGTGTAGGGAAGAGAGCTCAGAGAGTGACTAATGCAGGGGGAAAAGCAACAGAAGACAGACGAGTGGAGGCGGTGCCATGTGGCGGAGCGTCCTGCCTGTAGCCACAAATTAAATCCTGTGCAGCGGTCCTGTGAGGCCAGGTGTGAGAATAATGAGCAGACTTTCAGCTGAGAGAAGCAGCACTAAGTTTAGACATGAACATGACTCATCTGATCAGAGGACTACGGTCACAGTATGTCCAAAAAGTACCGTAGCGGCTTACCGAGACAATTTTGTTGATGAAAGTTGAGAGAGGAAGTTCTTCTTGGGTTCCTCCCTTTCTTTTAATTATCTGTATCCTGATTTATGTAGGCACAGGTTGAAG